CCCGTTTGAACTAATAAAGTGCCAGGGGCCTAAGTAGTCACCTCAATATTAAAAAAAAAAAAAAAAAAAAAAAAAAACGTTTTAAAAACATTTTTATAATATATTAATAATATAGTAAAATTTTTTAATAAAAATAAAATTTTAAAAAACTGTTTTAAATATATAATAAAAATGTAATAAAAATGTAATAAAAACTTCTATTTAAAATATATTATTATAATAATATTAAAAATGTTATTATTATAGTTTAAAAATAATTTTAAAATAATTTATTAAATATATTTGATATGTTAATATAATAATATAAATATATAATAAAATTAATTTTATTTTATAAATATAATATTTTAATATTAACTATTTATTGCATTTTAGTAATATAATTGTTTTATATTTATACTAACTTTATACTATATTTATATTATTATTTAAATAATAAAATCTAGGAAATACCAAATAATTAATTGCTTAACTATACTCCAATTTAAATTAACTACAATTGAAATAAATCAATTTAATTGCAATTAATTGCCCCAATCAATAATTTGTTAGATTTGCTTCTCCCTCAAGATATTGTCCAAAGAAATACATAGCAAAATTGGAAGAAAAATTAAACACGTGGATAATTCATGAACCATAATATTTGTCCATCATTTTTTTTGTAGTTAATGATTAGAATTATTTGATTATTTATAATTTGAATCATCTTAATAAGACAATTGAAGGTACTAATATAATTGGCTGTTTAACGGGATATAGCTGAGTACGCCAAATTACCCAACAGTGTCCAGATTTTTTTCAATGATCTTTTTATTAAATGGAATTCTGAATTTCCTAGTCGGAGATATATTATACTTGATATGTTAATTATTGAAAAAAAATTTTTTAATAATAATAGCCCAATTCAGCGGTTCAGACTCTTTCATTGGTAGATACCATATTTATCCTAATACAGTAATACGATGCTTTATTGGGTTTAGTAAAAAAAATTTGAATTGTTACATATATTCAAATATAATACATATACTGCATTACTGAAAAAAGTCTGAGCCATTGAATGGGGCCAATACATCGTATGTCTATTTTTTTTAAATTTATACAATAATGGAAAATTTCCAATTGTTAAGAAATTATGTTGCTGTTACTCATCTATTCCAGAATACCCGACTCCCCACATTACATCAATTTCATCATATTTAAATAACAGCCAAGTAAAATTCACCACTCAAATTTATTTCAGATCATGCGATATGATTTTAATAAGCATCATTTCAATACATCATTCAAAGTATAAAACGATATTCGTTAAAATCATATCTCATGATCTGTGGGTTACCTAATAACAATTGAAATTGCCAAAATAATAGATTCGAATTTGAATTAGGTTAGTATAACATAATATTTGAAAAGATCTGATCATAAATAAAATAAATAATAGCATATAAATAAATAAATTATAAATAATAAATATGAAAGTGAATACGTATCTAGTGATAGGACCTCCTGAATTATTAATAAATAATGATTATTAATTGATTGATCGAATTATAACAACGACTTAATAATATATAGGCAGCTAATTAGTACAAGATGTATAAAAAATGAAAATATTGAGTCAATATTTTCTTCAAAATTGCCAAGATATTGGCAACTAAATCTGTTGATAGGTTATTTAATTCATCATATTGATATTATTCATCATATCGATATTATTAACGATGATCGAAATTATTAACTACGTATCTAAATTGGTTATATTTACCTATACTTTAATCACTTTCAATAATATCATGTGTATGAAATTTTGATATTATTAATCCGATTTTGCTTTACTATTATTAGTTGCACTTTTAGTGTAGATATAAATTTTAAGAAGCAAAATAATCTGAAAGAAAACTATCTACAATGCCAAAGAAACCTATTTTAAAACAAAACTCATACATTTCTAATAATGCACCTGCACAAGTGTCTACAAGCAAAAAAATGCCTGCAAAAGTGTCTAAAGGCAGAAAAGTACTTGTACAAGTGTCTACGAGCAAAAAAGGACAAACATTTACGAATAAAAAAGTATCTGTTCAAGCGCCTACGAGCAAAAAAGAACAAACGTCTACGAGTAAAGAAGTATCTGTGCAAGTGCCTATGGGCAAAAAAGCACCTGCACGTGTATCTACAGGTAAAAAAGTAGGCAAAAAAGAATTTTTGTTTAAGGCTCATAATAATTTGAGCGATAAACATGAAGACTCTAATAATTATGAAGCACCTTTGAGTAACAGCTCTGAAGACACTTAATTATAGTACTCTTGTTCTCAATCTCCATACTCCCATTCTCGCTCTCGATCACCACATTTTCTTTTTCATTCTCATTCTCGTTCTCAATCACTACAAAATTCTCAACTAAGATTTTTCGTTCACTACACTCTCGATCACAATCGAGACGCTCTTATTCCAAATCTCAACCTTTACAATCACAACGCTCCTGTTCTCCATCCAGGTCTCAACCTTTATAATCACAACACTCTTGTTCTCCATCCAGGTCTCAACCTTTACAATCACGACGCTCTCATTCTCCATCCAGATCTAAACTTTTCCAATCATGACAATATCATTCTCCATCCAGGTCTCAACCTTTCCAATCACGACAATCTCGTTCTCCATCCAGGTTTCAATCTTTCCAATCACTCTCTCAGTCACATAGTCACAAAAAAATCACATTTGAGTCAAAATATGAAGCAGTAGTGTATATTTCTGAGCAACCAGACCTTTTAAAAATTGCATGTCAAATGGCTCAATATGATGGTCATAAAACAGGTGATGACAAATCTGTGGTTTTTACTCAACAAGTAAGATTACATTTTAATTATGCTAAAAATGAATTATTACTAATAATATCTTTTTTTTTTTCAGCAGTTTTGCCTTCACTTTATTAGGCTTTGTAATAATTATCTAAACTATTAAAATTTTCTACAGAGTTATACTCTAT